GTACCCACAGTACATGATGCCGAGCTGTCTGTCGGTAGAGTTCCCACGAGGAATCGATACACAGTGCCAGAATTTCATGCTCTCGGCAGCTGCATACGCAAATCTGAGCCTTCGAAACTGACAGCGACTGCCTACAAACATGCAGGCAACACCCCCTCTGTGATCAGGCCAACAGTTCCTTCGTCGGTGGCCCTGAGATGCTATGTCATGTTATGAGGCTGGTTGTTTCTCTAAGCAATCGTGCAACGACAGGTTGTGCCTGGTGTCTGCAGCCGAACGGATGGCGTTGAGGATCGCAGGAATTCCCTGCGCCTGGAACAGGCCAGCCTGGCGCAAGCGATTCTCTGGGAGTGGCTCCACGGGTCTCCTGTCACGTGTTGCAAGGAAGGTCGCGCTGTGCCTGAATGGACGTGGAGTTACCACAGAGTGTGGCAAGGCCTGTGTCCAATGGAGCTCCGCCACAGAACTCTCCACTTTGCTCTGTGTGCCCGGCATTTGAGTCCAAGCGCTTGGACATGAGGGTTGCCGGCGTGGGCCTCGGCAAGTACAAGCTCCACTTTGCACTCCATAGGATATTGGTCGGATGCCTGCATGACTTGAAGAAGTACCGGAATGAGGCCAGCTGATACCAAAGCATCCTGGCACTGGTCCACAGCCGAGGCTCTTCTTCTGCGAACTCTATGCAGCGCTGGTGCAAGAGAGGATGCAGCGCTGCTGGGGCTTTCTGAATATCCGGATCCCGAGATGCAGCTTCAAAGAAAACCACTCCAACTTCAAGCCTGGCTAGCTGCGAAGATCCAAGCGCAAGTTAAGGAGGCCAGCCAGTATGGGTTCTGTCACACTATACAATACTATATAACAGAAGTAGCCTCATACTTAGCCGCCTCGCCAGTGGCGGCAGGCCCAGCCTTGCAGCCCTCGTGCTTGGCCAACTCGTTGATCATCTGCAAGGCACTGATTGCAACCTGAAAAAAAAGGCAGAGACACGAGCACCCATGGGCAGTACACTCGCTGCACATGCTGCACGCAACGGATGCCGGTTCGTGGATCAAGCTGCAAGGTGCCTGGGGATCGCCAGAATGATACTGCAACGTGTTCTTCACAGCCAACACTCCGCCCGCGTCGATGATCTGTCACGGCATGTGGACTCGTTCGGCTCCCTGCAACGAAACCTCTGTGCCGTCAAACTGTCCATAGCCTGCGACGCATACTCCGGAATGTATGCCTCGGCTTCGCAATCAGATGACGCCGACTCAGCGCTGTGTCACAGTATGCTTCCGGAGAGCCAGCGGAGACAACGCAGACAATGCGTAGCGGTGGATCACTGCATCCTGCATTCACAACCAAATCACAACACATTTGAGCTGGCACGTAGCTCGCACTTCCTGTGCAAAGTTGTTCATCGCTGCGATCAGTGGCCTGATGCCACCATCCTGTCGACATGATGGACATGTACGGTAGTTGAGAAACTGAAATTGCATCTCCAACCTCGGGGTGAAACCTTTTGCTCCTGCCGATCCTAATCCCAACCTACACCTGTGTAGGGCCTACATAGGCTCGTCTGGCACATTCACAAGCGTATTTCAACATTGTGAAGTATTGTGTAGTAATCGTAGTCCATGCACCCAAACTCCAATTCATGTATGCTATGTAAGTGAAACGAATTCGCCGTGAAACAGACCCCTTTAGGGTCCTGGCTTTGCTGCATCGTGCGAACTCTACCCTGCTGATGCTGAGCATTGCTGTACACTTTCCGGTCTTCCAATATCCCGCTGGCGCGTAGAACAGAGCGAATCAGCAGGGAGCAATGCAACACGAGCTTGTCATTTACCTTCATGCTACCACCCACTGGTTGTCCAAGCCGCATCCGGCGGAGCCTCGCGCAAGGATGGCTACTGTGGAAAAATCGCAGAAGCTTCGAAGAGCCCGCCCCCCCTGCCTTTTTGCGACCGCCATAGCAGTTTGAAAACTTCCAGCGGCCCTTGCCTGCAGCGAGTGGTCAAGACATCCGCAAGACAGCCGCCCCTCAGCACAGCAATGATCGGCCTGTGGATGATGCAACAGCCAGGGACAGCTCCTGAAGCGCGAAATCGCGGCTGCTGACACCTCACTGCATGGCATCCAGCCTCTGGGGCTTTTGTTTTGACTAAGTCAGGAAGGCTTGGACCTCGGTAGAGCGGTCAAACTTTCACGAAGCAGAAGCTTCCATAGAGTCCAAGTAGAGTCGGGGACCCTTCTTCCCAAGCTCCGGGGATGAAGCGCTGTGCCACATCTCCTCTGCTAAGTAGGGCTTTCCCCAGTCAGGCAAGGTACAGAAAACATGGCAAGTCCGTGCTCCGTGGCAGACTGCTGCAGCTGCGACATGTAGTCACTGAAGTCGCAGTACAAAGCCACGTTCTGGAGCCTTCCGCAAGTCATCGATGCCAGGGGAGGTCTTCGCAAGCCCTGCTCCTCAGCTATTCCCAAACCGAGAACCCTGCTAACCCTAAAGCCCTGATCCCTAGAACAATCCCCTACAAATAAACCCTAAACTCGGGAGTTCCCAAAAAGGGCTGTGCCTGGACATCTTGGACTCCTGGCCTCGGGTTCGGTCGCCTCACAGGGCGTTAGTTGGCGCGAATCGGTTTTCGGACGCTCTGGGTGGACGGGCGGCATCTCGGCAACTATCCAAGAAGTAGTTCAGAGACATGTAAATGAAGGCTAGGGAGATACTTCAAGTTCACGACTTTCAAGGTATGCAGCACCTGCGAACTTTGTCAATCAACGAGTTCAAGTGTAGTCGCGGAATGGGGCATTGCTATTGGCACATTCTTTTTCACCCAAACTTGTCTGGCTTTCTCGTGGGAACCTTATACGGTCTCCCTAAGGCAGTCATGGGACATTTTGCTGGGCGGGCTGCGGGGAAATAAATATCAACTCCTAGCCCGTTTTCTTGCCACTGCCCATGTAGCTATATCTGTATCCATATCCACCTATAGACCTATCTACATGTCTATCCATCTATCTGTATGTGTGTGTATATATATATATAGATAGATGTACACACATGTCTTATATATATATATATACATCTATATATGTATAGGTCTACGTATTAATCATACCGAACGAGCAGTCGTCCCCTAGCCTGGTGGCCGGATAAGGCGCCCGGGGCGCGTGCCGGGAAGCGAGCCTGATCGGTCAATTTGGTGAGGAGTAGCATGGCATTTCAAGTCGAGCGTACATCGAAAACCGCGGATCTTTGAAGACGAAAATGGACATGCAATCAGCCGCGCTCGTCCTTAGTTCATTAGTCACTGTACTAGTTGCTTTGGATCTTGATCAGTCAGTGCCCATCCCTCCTCCCTTTGCCTGTCGCTGATGGGTCACCCACCGCGGCTCCTGCATTGGGGCAGACGATGATGATGATGATGAGGATGATCTTCTTCTTCATATACATCACCATCAATTTTCGTCATCGTCGTCTTCATGGTCGTCATTGCTCATCGTCCCCTTCTTATCCTCGTCGTCGTCACCATGATGCTCATCACCATCAAAGTCATCACCATCAGAAGTCATCAACGTCCCTGGCTTGACATCACGGCATCTCATACACAATGCCTGTGCGAAACGAAACGAAACCAATGGTGGGTCTTCGGAGAGCAGTGCCAAAGAGCTGGCTCCTCCAGCATCTCCCGCGGCCTTGCTGACCTTACGCTCCAGAGAAGCGCTACAAGCAAGAGTTGGCGGGCTCGTTTCTCAGCTCATGTTCTCAGGTCATGGCCTTGAAGAGGGACCAACTTTCCACAGACTCCTGGCTTTCGCACGCTGTGCGAAGTGCTGTCCAGACTCCACGTAGTACATTCGCAAGCTCCTCGCCCGCACCATCCGGGCGAAACCCAAAGTCCACCGCCTTCAAAGCGCAGAGCATGGTCCTTTGTTTTGCGCCAGGAAAGGAACTGCCAGGCCTCGGGTCTTCCTTGACGAGTGCCGCTTCGGCTTCGGCCAGTCTTCCTCGAGGCCACAAGGCTTTACGAAAGTTCCGATTGTCTTCATTAGTAGTCAGTACTCTTCTCATTGTGGTGGTCGAAGAACTGGACATGGACATCCCGGTCCCGTGGCCTTCTGAGGTCGTGCAACTTCCCATTGCCTGTGTCGGCACGGCAAGTCTCAACCCGGTTACAGAAGTCAATACCGGGCACCCGACCTCCGACCCCAGGCTCTTTGAACCTGCCGGGACGAAGTTGGTACTCTCCCGTATGCAACACGAGCAATGCTTGTGCCAGGGATGCCCCAGCGAGGCATCACCATCTTGCGAGGGAGGGGCTTCGTTCATTGACCTCGAGACTTCGTGTCGTATTTCTGATTGTGTCTTTTCCTTCACAATTCCGAGTTCGAGGCAACATGCTGTGGCTCGACATGCGCGAGCTGGACAGCAGGAACTGCAAGCAGGAAGGACCGCTCTTCTGGCTGCTGGGCATGCACACTTAAGTTGCTGTTATTGCTCTACGTCGTAGATGGTAGAAGCCATTCGACTGGAGACAGCCGGTGCCTCGGTCTCAAACGGGGTGGATGCTGAGCGCCTCAGGACGCAAGGATGCCGATCTGATTTCAACTGTAGCCAACTTCTGCCATGTTCAGAACATTCCACTGACGACATTCCAGCATGCTGACTCGGAATTGGTGTCCCCACCTTGGCTGCGCGAGCTTCCGCAGCTCATGCTGCAGCTGTCGCTGACTGGCGCGGATATCCGAGAGGCGCCGTCGTAGCTCGCCAACATCCAGTGACTGACGCAGCTCCGAGGAACCGTAGCCAACAGCTTCACCAATCAGGCCCTGCAACGCTGCGAAGCTGTCCTCTGCTCTGCACAACTGCTCTGCGTACTCGGACTGATCCTCGTTCAGCTCCTCCTTCCCAAGCCCCAGCTGCAATTCCAGAAGCCGGTCAAGGCGCGGCCGGAGCTCTGCCAGCCCTTCTGAGCTACCCTCGCCAAGCAAGGCCCGGAAGCACTCCGCACACGTCCGCAATTGCGACTCCAAGATCTCCCGCAGCTGTCGCAGCTGCCGGGCGCCCCCGGAGCCTCCCTGAGAACCCGAGGTGGCCGAGGCGCGCGGTGCGGAGCGTTGATTGTCCCGATCCTCCGGTGCCTCCTCTGAAGCCTGGTGCTCCAAGGATCTCTTTTGCTCTGGCACTTTGAAGGGCAACACGCTGCTCTCTGCCAGCGAATCGCCGATGCTCTGCGTGCGTTTCAGGTCCTTTGTTTTGCACGTTCGGCGCGCCGCCTGCAGCTGGGACATGATGGTGCTGGTGTCCTGGCAAAGCAAGCTTCACAATATGAAAACCGAGACCGAGACGTGTGCGAAAGAGGGGCTGCCTCAGCACAGATCACTAGCTCCAGTGTTGCTGTAAGAGCCTAGCACCGGTGTGTTCGAAGCAGAGCAACATGCTGTGGGACATAGAGTGAATGCAGTACACAAGTCCCTGTGGAATTGTACTCAGATTTACATATGCACCGGACAAGCACCTGCCACAGATATAAACGTTCATCACTGTGGGCTGGTGTCCTTCAGCTTCCGTTGGCTAGCCATCCGCTTGATTCTCCTCTGCATGACTGTGTCTTCCTGGTTGAGGAAGTGGTGCTCGTTGAAGGGTCTCTTCTGTGTGGCTGTCTTCTTTGCAAGGCGCTTTCGAAGCCAGTAAGGCTTCTCTTCGCCGTCGTCGTCACTGTCCGAGTCCTCCCAGGCCCAACCGAGCATGCGGTAGAGCTCCCGCAGCTCCATCTTCAAGAGCCGGAGTCGCCCTTTGATTTGAAGGACTTTCTCTTTGCAAAGCTTCGTCTGCTTCAGGAGCTCTACCTGTTCCTCTCCCAACGTCCGAAGGAGGCCACTCCGAGGATCCGGTGGAGGAAGGCTCGCCTTCTCCTGGACCAGCTCTTTCACCTCCGCCTTCTCCTGCTCGGCCGCCGCAGTCTGTTCCTCAACCTGCCATCTGAAAAAAGCGTGTGCAGGCGATCGTCTTGGCAAAATCACCCCCATACTTAAATCCAACTATGCACACCCCCACACATGAGATGCTCACAGAAGATGTCCGTGTGCGTGCACGCATGTCCATATCACTTCAGAGACCGAATTCGGCCCGTCCCGGCCCGTCGCACCTGAGCCGTGAGCACCTGCGCTTTCTCCGTCGCTGCCGAGGCCTCTTCTGCCAGAGTCTCCGCCTCGGCTTCCATGGCTTTGGCCGCTTCCGCCTCTTTCAGAACCTCCTCGTCGATCTCCTGCGAGGCTTCTAAGGCTGTTGCAGCCAGGGTTTTGGAGGGGCCTGTGGCGTAAGGGGTTTTAAAGGCCTAGGGCTTCGGGAGACTTCTGTTTCTTCATCAGGGACAAGGGACAGGCTCAGGAGCAAAGCTGCCGGTGATGGTGGTGTCGTTGTAGTTAAGACCATACCCAGCATGAG